CTCTGTTGTACGAAGACGCATCTATGTTTGCTCCAGAGGTGCGTCTTCTGTTGAGGGCCAGACTCCTGGGTTCATGTCCTGCCATGGCCAAGAGGGAGCTGTGGGAGCCTCAAGACAATCTTTGTCAGAGGAGTCAGCTTAAAACTTAACCAAGAGAAAAGGCAATTCCTAGATAATGCAAACCTAGAACCAGCCTTCTCCCAGTCCCCAACGAGAAAAAATTCAGCTTCCAGGAGCTTGTGGCCTCGCCCATCCCCAGGCGCCTGGGACAGGAAAGACCTCTGGAGTCACACGCACGGGAAATTGAGAGTTCAGTCTCTGATCAAAGCAACAGAAAAGCAAACGGAGAATGAGAAAGCGAAGAGACATTTCCTGGGGTGAGCAGGAGCCAGGCTCTTGGCCTCCACCACACACATTGAGCTACCACCGTCAGGCTTCTAGAAACACGCTGAGGCTCCCGCCCCTGCCACCAGCCCAGAAAGCCCCTCATCATTCTTCCACCCATCCCTGCTCCCCAGCACCCAGGCCAGGGCCAGGCACAGTTCGCCCTGCCCAGCGGTCAGATCTTGGCACTCACCTGTTCCCCGCCCCGGAGTTCTGGAGTCCCAGCCTCCTCCTGCATTTACTTATTCCTTCCTCCCTGAGGAGGGTGGGGAAGGGCGGAGGAGTCCCGCACAATGCTCCTGGCGTGGCAAGCAGAAACAGGGACTGAGAACCCAGGGAAGGGCTACTGAACCAGGGGTGCACGGATGTGCATCAGGGTGTCCCCAGAAACTGCGCAAACACAGGCATTTCTCAGGGGAGCAGATCCTTCACCTCCACCAGTTTCTTAGAGGTGACGAGCCAAGGCTGACCACGCAGAGCTGTTTCTCGACAGAAAGGGTTACTGGTGGTTTATCCAGAGGACATTATCACCTCTGAAGCAAGAGTGTTCCTGGGGGGAAGTCTACAGTCAGGAGATTCCAGTCATTCTACCCCAGCACTCCACATGCTCCACCACTGGGTTCTATTTGCTTGGTAAGAGAGATAAGAGACTTTTTAAGAGCAGGGATAGGATTTTATCCCCAGGCCTGAAGTGTCTGGCACATGGAAGGTGTTCAATAAATATTTGGAAAAGGATTAACTGTTATTACAAGCCAACTTTTGAAACACTTTAAGCTGAAACTACCTGTATTTGTTCTTGTTTTTAAAAAGTTCTTTGAGCTAGCTAGCTTCGAGGAGCAGAAACCAACTGCATCACATGTGCTAGGCGGTGAGCGTTCCAGGTTAACACTGATAACAAACACGCCAGGACTCTAGGGGTCAGGCCTGTAGGGAGCCCTACACATGCCCATGGGTATGCACATGGCATGCCCACATGCACGCACACAGTGACCCTGTGAGCTGGGCTCTGTCATGACATTATTTTACAGATGACGAGACAGAGATTTTGGGAGATAAGCAATTTGCCCAAAGGCACGCAATCAGTAAGACACCTGCAGTAATAAATATGGAAAGCAATATGCCCTAGAAAGACCCGTCTATTATGTTCCACTATTGATTCCTAACTCAATAGGGAATGGGGCTCAGTTAGAACATTTAAACACATTTTTCTTTCAAAGGGACTCTTTTTTTTCTATTCAAAGAAAATACATATAATTTTATTCAAAGCATAATTGCAATCTCCTTCAAATTAACTACAATTTTTGGATTAAGACATAAGCAATAATATCAAGTGACTGTGAATATCTTCATCTAATGACATGCAACCGAAACTTAAGAAAATGCATTCTAAACAGAAAAGCTCCAAGGCTCCAGCTATGCTGGCACCCTCCTCCCATGTACCCCATGTTTTCTCCTGCCTGTGGGAGCCCCAGGCACCATGCAGCACCCTGCCCCACCCTTCCCAGACACCTCACCCTAGAGCCCACTTTTTCCGTCCCGGACTTGAGCTTTTTCCAGTTACTTCTGGGAAAGGCCAGTCTAGGAAAACACGAACTCCCTAAGGAAAACTGCACCTTGCCCCCAGCCCCCTTTGAGTCCTCTTAGGCGGCTAATCCTACACACTAGACATGTGAGGCATTCAACAGACACTAGGAGGGAATCTACTTCCCCAGAGCAAAGACGGACTGGCATGTTCACCAAGAAGCCACACACTCCGCACAACACAAGCAAGAACACCACCAGCCCTGGCTCTGCCGTAATGGCTGCCAGAAACATGTGAGGCTGTGAGGTTCAGGGCTACATTCATAAAAAACATGAATCCTAACCCGAACCCTGTAGACAGTCGAAATGTTTCACCCCTTAGGACAAAGTTCTAAGCAAACTTCATTTTTACACGTCCAATTTCTGGAAGTGTTACCGCCACAGTGAGTGCTAATCAGCGCCAGATCCATTGGTGGCATCGCCAGAGGAAGTGACCGACGTTAGGGCAGTGATGGAGCTCCCCTCGAATGAGGTCTCAAACACACAGTGATCCAATATCCCAACTGGGCCCAGACCGGGCACTCGCTGAGGTGCCACATGTCCTGCCACGGCCTCCCCACACACGTGGTGTCAGGGCCCATCACACAGGTCTGTCAGAGATCCCCCACCGCCAACACTTGCTGACAAGATCCCATGCCACCACCCCCTGCACATCCTCCCTCCCTGTGCAGTCCAGAGGACTTTGGCCGCGGCTGCCTATTTCTGCTGCCACTCTGGCCTGAAGCAGCTTCACAATTTCAAGCAGAAGATTCTGGCTGGTGGCATCGTGAGGGGGTCTTGCCTCAGGCTTCCCACAGACACCACACAGATTTCAAAGATGGTCCTCGCACAGGAAGAGGCAAAGGTGGCCTGAAGCCAACTCCACCCTCCACAGCTCCCCAGAAATTCATGCCACAGGAACACCCTCCTCACTGCAGCAAAGGAACAAGTGGGCACCAACCTTGACCACCTAGGCCAGACGCACATATGACCCAACCTTCCATCCTCTGCATCCCCTTCCAGGTAGACTTTCCGGCCCCTTCTCCACAGAAGACAGTGTCTAAAAATGTGCCCAGCACAGAAACGTCCCAAGTGGCATATACCACCGGCCTGCCTGCTTTCTCCCCAAGCTTCTTCTGCTTACTGGGATTAGAAGGAGATGAAACTCGAAGTTTAAGGCCGGGTTTCTCTGAGTAATTGATCTGGGATTCAACACAAGCCCTGAGAGCTGGTCCTGAGCTCCTGTTTAGTCATCAGTAGAGGGACAGAACTAGTGCAATTCAATCCACATTTATCAGTTAGGCACTGGGGACAAGGTGGCTGGAGGGGAAGGTGCTTCTCTGCCACCGGCGTCACCTTTAGCAGCTGAGAAGGAGCCCAGAACTTCTGAGGATCACTGGCAAATCCAGTCCTCTGCTTAATCTTCTTCGCTGTCCTTACTCTATGACGGGTTTATTATATTATTTATTTGTAGTCTGCCACCCTAGAAGGATGGCCTTGCACTTCTTTAGGCTTTTCTATGGACACTTCTGGACACATGGTCACCAAAAGCAGGGCAATGAGAAAACAGGACAGCAGATGGCAGCCAGCTACAGGAACGGTGCCAAGAGCGGCCCACAACACAGACGTGAATGGGGTCGGCCTGGGGAAATAGAGTCAAGGACGAGCGCTTGGGACGGCCCACATTAAACCCTCCAGGAAGGTCTGCTGAAGCAGTCTGAGAAACAGGAGGCAGTAGGAGGAGGAAATTCTGTCCCTGGCTCCCTTCTTTCCTCCTGTCTTTACTCATGACAAGGCTGAACATGGCAAATAGCACCCCCAGCCCCAACAGCCGCAGAGCGGGCAGCAACCTCCAAGCACGCGAGTGACTCAGGACTACGTTTTTCACCCGATCACACAGGGAAGACCTGCGGTTAGGGGCAGGCTGCGGCCCAACGCTTGAGCCCTTACGGGCCTGATGTTGGAGCCCTCTCTCTTCCCACTCTGCTACCCTGCTTCCTCCCAAAACGTTTATTCTGAAAGCAGAGGGTTAAGGATTTGTTTTCCAAAATGATTCACTACAGCACTCTCTTGAATAGCAAGATCCTCTGAAACATTTTAAAAATTCAATTCACATTTAATTCTCCAGAAGTATAATATAAGTTAGGGGCATCTCACCCAGGAACGGGAGAGAGGCTTGTTCCATGTGGAAGCACTGAGAGCAGTGGGGAAACGCCCAAGGCCTGGAAGCCAGGCTGGAGCTGCAGGCGATCCCCTCCCCTCGCCTCCGAGGTTAAGGTGCAGGGGGCTAGGATCCGAGTCACGGCATGAGAACTACCTCGGGCCAAACTGGCAGAAGCCCCCCTGCCCAGAGCAAGTCCCACATCTGCTTATTTCTCTGCTACACTCTTGTGTCTTTTTCTTTCTTACTAGGCCTTTGACAGAGACTGAAGGGAACAAGAGACTTAGAAAATAGACCGAGAAAGTGCCACCCTGCAATTCAACCCTGTCCTCCTAATGCACACTTAAGAGAAAAGAAAAAGAGCACATCAACAGAACATTTCCAGTGCCCTTTACAGCATATTGCGAGAAACACCGAGGCATTTGAAAGACCCTAGCAGACTAAATGTCTGTTTCGCAAGAAGTACAGACAAGTTGCTACTCCCAGATGCTTGCAGCCATCAGACATTCTGCCTGCCCCAGCCCCGGGGAAGCAGGCCCTAAGTCCCCTCGACCCCACGCTAACCGACAAGGGGCCAGAGGCTGGGATGCGCTCGAGGGTCTGAGATGGCCACACACCAGCCCACAAACACCCACATACCCAGTTTGTTCAGTATTTGCGTTTGGAATCAGCTTGGCCTTTAAGATTTTGAGACAACCTATCAACTGACACATCCCCACGGCCCGCATGGTGGCATGTAGTCTGCAGGAACGGAGCTGGGGACATGGGAGGAAAGAAGTGGGTTGTGTGCTACGTATCTATCTGATAAAAAATGAAATGCTTGCAACACGTCATTTGAATATGCATTAGAATCTTAAAACCCCTTCAAAGAGATCTCTGCAGTAACTCCACTCACCTCTGGAGTGTTCTTCTTGAACTCTCGGCTCTGCTCGATAAGCCGCTTTCTGGACTGCTCGCTTTCATCTTGCCGGTTCGCCAATACCGTTGCGGTGGCATCGAGTTCTCTCTGTTGAGAAAAACAAAAACGGAAGAGTGAGTTTTTAATTGTGCTTTGCACCAGACAAGATCACATTTGCATTTGACCAGAACACTTGGGGGGGGACCCTGGTGGCTCCTGGGATTATCAACTCATCGGCAGAAAAGGGCTGGGGGTGATCCACCCATCCCCATCCACACCATGTGCTCAGGTTTGAGAAAACCCAACTGGCTCAGCCTGATGCATCATGCACAAGCAGGTGTTCCACAAATGACTCTGTTCCTGTAAGAGAACACTCAGGAGGGTCGGTCTTTCCGGATAAAACCAGCATCAGAACAATACCAGAGGACACCCAGGCTGAAGCCGCTCTGAGTCTGTTCTCCAGAAGTGCCTCTTCCAGTCATTCTGGCTCCAGTCCTGCGGAGCTCTGTCCTCTCCTCGGGGCACTCTGTCTAGCTGTCCGCCAACAACGTGGGTCTGGGATCTTTTGGAGGAATACTTAATTTGTTTTCACTCAACAAGTGTTTATTGTGTGCTGACTCTAGGCCAAACATCACCTTCGAGACCACTGACCTAGTATTAATTTTCAAGAGAGACCTTTAAAAGGCAAATCCCAAGAATAATAATTTCTAATACCTTGCAAACGTTTCAGAAACGAGGCACCTGGAACCGGCAATGGTTCTCAAACCACGTTACTTGCACGAGAACCCCGAGGACCGCTGGGAGTGGATTCCCTATCAGGAGACCTGCCAGGGGCTGAGGGCTTTGGGCTCTGCTCCACACAGCAAACTGACTCTTGACGCAGCAGAGAACCCGTGCCCTGGCCTCGGAATTCTGAGGAGTTGCCAGGAGAATCTGTTCTAAACAGGCCTGCAGCAGATGGGCCCCGAATGGCGCTCTAGGCTGGCAGCAGGAGCACAAGGACATGGTGCAGCCGCCACCGAAAGGCCGGTTTTCTTGCCGAGTCGCATCGGTGACTGAAGACAGGCAGCAGCACGTTCTGCCAGGACTCAAGGTGGCTACTTCAAGAGGTAGGGACGCTGGCCCGCGGTCAGGCAGAGTGAGGACCTCACAAGTCAAAGGCAGAAAGACTAGCAAAGTCAAAGCTGAGGATCCGCCAGACTTCCTCTCTCCATGCCACCTCCCCCCAAGTCCCACCTGCTTTCCCTCTTGGTGGAAACAGCCCAGTGCTGTAAGCCCTGCCGGCAACGCTTCGTTGGTACCACTATGAGGTAGGCCACTGCCAGACAGGATGACAGAGTACTGGAACAAACATCCAGCACGCTGTCAACTCAGAATCGTAGCCGGTTTACAAAGGAGGGAAGGAACAAAACAGCAACAACAACAACCAGGCGATGGGGGGAGATACCACCCCACCACACTCCCCCCTTAGTATTTCTGGCAGTAAAACAAATCTTGGGCAAACTAGTCCTAAAGAATAACGTGGGCTAGAATTCAAGAACAGATGTCAAAGCTATTGCAGAGAAGAGGGAAACACTGAACATTTTGATAGACCACATTTGAAACCCATCCCAGTCAAGTGAAGGCAGGGAGAAAAGAGCAACCGAAACCAACGTGGCGCCGCAGGGCTGGGGAGAGAAGAGCAGTCGCAGATAAGCAGAAGGCTCTTCAAAAATATAAACAATCTGCTAAGGGGGAGGACTTCGACATCTATATTTAAGCAGTAGCAGCAGAAGTTATAAAAGGAGACTTCAAAAGAAGGGGGGGAAAAGCCAATATTGAAACATGGCAAAAAAGAGAGTCGATGGTGCGTTCCAATCGCACACAGACACAGAAAACTCAGAGAAAAACAAGAGCACGGCCTGCTCCGGGGGCCACGTCCTCCACTGAAGGGAGGCAGGGCAGGGGCGGGGGGTGGCCTCCCAATCGGGGGTGTCTGCTGACTTCTTAGAACTGGCCAGGTTCTGGAGGCTGGGGGCACAAAGGTGACTACAGGATTCAGCCCTGACTCTCCCACTTTCCCAGCTAGCGGGGAGCGTGGGGCACACTGGCAGGACGCAGGCTCTATGAGCCCCTCAGGCCCCCTCTGCCCCTCCCCAGGCTGACCGGTCAGGAAGCCTGACTGGGCAGGGCTGAGCCGACACAGGTGGCCCGAGAGCAAGTGACCCCACCGTGACCACAGGGCCGCAGAGCCCGTCTGCCTGAGGTGGCCGGCTGCGGGCAGTCGGGGACTCAACGGGGGTCCACTGTGCTCCCTTTCCCACACGTGCAGACATATGCAGGTCGGCATGGGAAACCAACAGGGGTCCCCAAATTTAACACTGAGCCACCACCCGCCACCACGGAAACAGATTGGCGCAGCGAGGAGGAGAGATGGAGCTTCCACAGCCCCAGATTGGGTTGGTCAGAGTTCAGGCTCGCGATCTTTCACCAAGTCCCTTGGAAATAAACAAACCACCACCAAATCCTGCTGAAGGACGCCAAGGCGTTCTCAGGCCGAGGAACGACGCAGAGGGAGGAGACGGCTATTAAACATAAGCCAAATACTGTTTTATTATCCACCAAGCCTGCCTGTACTCAAAGTGTCAGATGTAATGACACATTAACAAGGGAATGCAATGCATTCAAGGGAGGTGGAGGTGGGGACCTCGAGTGCCGAACCCTTGGCCCATGAGTCATGGGTCACACGGAAGACGGAGCATCCAAGTCACCAGGAGCAAAAGACCTGGGGGCCAACCTGCACATCTAGCAACGGCCTGTTGGCACAGCTGCTCATGGATTGTTCTGCAATGGCTAAAAGAACCCACAGTTCTACCTACGTGTATTACATGCAACGGGATGATCGTTACGATACATTCAAGCCAAAATGCAAAGTACGGCACAACGCTTAAAAGAATAGCCATACATATGCTTGATAGGCTATGATTATCTCCAGAAAGATACGGAAGAAGCTTGCAACTGTGCTTGGCTCTCAGGAGGGACCCGTGGGAAGGGGACTTACTTTACAGTCAGGGTCTTTTGACTATCTAGCCATACGCATGCACTATCTAGTTGGAGAACCTGCAATATATCTTCATTGTACAATCCTGCTAATGTGAAAAAAATACAGACCCACAGAGTTATGGAAATATACTTTGCGCAATTTGTCCAACAACAAATAACCATGTGACACGTGAACCTCTGTGTCACAGTCTGAGCGTCCACCTGCAGGGGCAGAGGCCTGGAATTGGTGGCCTCCTGAGTCTGGTGATTCAAGAAGTGAGGTGAGCACGTCCTTTGTCAAAACAGCAGCTGCGTCTTGTACAACGGGCTGCTCACTGGCCAGTCTCAGGGTAGGAGGAGGGCAAGGAAGATGAGGAGGATGGGGGAGGAAGAAGAGGAGGAGAGGGAGGAAGGGGGGCGGCCGTTGCAGCTGGTCACAAAAAACAACCCCCAGCTCAGCCAAACTCTCCCAGAGAAGGGCAGGAAGACATCCTCTCAGAATTATCTCCTACTGGAAGCACCTGAGAGGCCAAGGTCCTAGGTCATAGGAAGCTGGCAGCAAACCCCAGGCTCAGAACCTGGTACTTCCAATGAAGCTGAAAGAGCTGGAAATGTTACTGAGAAAATGTCTGGCAAAGACAGGCACCTGAGTGCAGAAAGCACATGTCTGCCTTTCAAAGCGATCATGAGATGACTGATGTCAGGAGGCGATGAAGACCTGCACGGCCCAGGCCCCAGCCCAGCCCCGCCCCGGGGTGGACCACACCGCCTCACCCCCCCCAGCACTTGTTGGCTTTGTCTGTCCCTCCCTGGGGTCTGCCTCAGCCACAATGGCTGAGAGCTGCCACCGAGCCAAGTCCAGGTGTAGACGCAGCAGGTGGGTGTTGCTTGCGGGAACCCCCGAGTGCTCTTGCCCTCGTTCTGAAGGGCATTCGTGGTCAAGCTAAGTCTCAAGCCGTTCGCAGCAGGGGAGGGCCGGGCGCATCGACAGGCTGGCCTAGCTGCCGCCATCTTTTCTCAGCTGGGAAACCCAGGGTAATGTGCACAGACAACCCTCATTCCACAACACTGGGGTACTGCTGTGGATGGCTGGAATCCTGTCTCCTCACTGATTACAACCTCTGGGATGCTTTTGCTCCATTTCTGACTGCTCCTCGCAGGGCAAAGCTCTGAACATTTTAACCCTTTGCACTTGGGGACATCTTAGGATCACCTGCCAGCAACTCAACCACCACACTTTTTTACAAAACAGTGAAAAGAAATCACTTCATATTAAATAGTACAGTGATGGAACCAATTATTTTACTGTGATGATATTTGGCTTATGATGGAATTCTGGACATTGAGGAACGTATTTATGGCAAAAAAAATCAAAATTTTATATCACATTTGTCTTAATGTGTGAAACAGCCACCAACACGCATTGCAGGTTCATTGATACATGTTGTGCTATAGTAATTTGTTTGACGTCTTCCACCTGGTGTTTTTTGTTTGAGCAGACAATGCAGTCTCATTTTCTTCCTCCCACATTGATAATACATAATTTATTGTCCAGTCTGTTATTCGAAGATGATGTGGAAGGACATTCTCTTTCTATGTAATGCCAGTTGATATTTTTCTACATATATCTCATTATATATTCCATTTCTTTATTTACTTTCTTGTGCAATCTGAATAGAAAACTTCAAGGAAACATACATTTTTGAAAAATCTGTGCTGGCATAAGTTCATCCTGTATAATCACCAGCAATCTCTTTATGTCTCTCGAGAGGGAACATCCCAGAGCAAAGGGTTAAGTTTCTCTCCGCCCCAACTCCAGCCTTTCAGTCAAGAATTAAAGATGAATTAAAAATAAAAAATGACCACGTAACTAGCTGCCTATTTAAAGGGAATTATGGGAAAATGTTTTCCCAACTAAAACAAGTATTTTGATAACATTAGGGATCTGTTTGAATCTGCTCACCTTTAAAGTGTTTATGTCCGCTGATGGTTTATTTTAAACTGGGGATGCCTGCACTTTGCCACTTTTGCTCAGATTCTCTCTTTCTTAAGCCCCTAGGCTCCCACTGGGTGGGTCCTTCCAGTCCTAGCATACTGAACTGGCGGGAAGACACACCTGGGTCAACCACATTGCAACACCAGTTCAAATTTTAACCCAAAGAGTTAGTTCAACTGTGTTTCTTTAGGGATTATCTGTCAAACTAATCCAGCAGGACATCTTATATAGAAATTTTAAATGGTTTTGCTAGTGAAAAAAATACATCATTTGTGCAAAAAAAAAGGAAGACCAGTCACGATTTCTGCACAGGGCAGTCCTAAGCACATTTTTTGTTTCATTTCCAAAAACAGAATCATTTGGACAAATAGAGGGTGCTCTGGCTGGAAAGAGGTGGTGGACCCAGGCCCACTCAGCATCCCTTCTCCCAACCCCCTTCACAAAATGGCGTCAGAAAACCCTGGGGAGGACTCCAGACTCTATCCTGCTGTAACCTGTGTGGTTGTGGTCAAATGACTTCCCCTCTCTGGAGATAATTAAGATAATGCATCCTGAGTTCGTGGCACGGTAAATGCCACATCAAGGTTAATCTTCTGTACTATCAGAGCCACATACTTGACCCAAGACCCGAATTCATTCGGCCACCAGCATCCCACACCAGGCTGGGGGTTCCAGGGATAAAGACGCGTTGGAAGGCAACCATAGCACCAGGTGCCCACAGTACTGCAGAGGAAATGGGGCAGGCACGAAAGAGTGACAAGACAGAGGCGTCGGGCCGTGGACCGAAACAGAGAAGGGGCAGGAAAGAGGAGAACATACTTCTAGCAAGAAGGGTCTCCTATTTTCGTGAGAGAGGGCTGTCTTAGCTGGAGCCTGTGGGCAGACGGGCTTGATCTCTCAGGCTCTTCCTCATCCCCAGGAGGGCCTGCCAAGCACCCAGCACAGTGCTCCCATCACAAAACAGGGTCTCAGAGAAACCAGGAGCCATATCAAGGTCACCCAGGCAGTGGGGGACAGAAAAGTGTCCTCTGGTGAGCCGAGACCAGCCTGGCTTTGCCACGGACGTGATGAAAGGGGTGGGGTGGGGAGAGGGCGGCTCCATGAGAAATGTGAAACCACCTTCCCCAGGGTATGTCCACAGTGATCGCACGACCCACTCAAAAAACACAGAGGTACACACGCGTGTATAATTTGCTTCTATATACACAGGATTCTCAGGAAGGTGTCACAGGGAGGGAAATGAAGGGAATGGGCAGTCACTGGGCATGGGGAGGTCCTCTCACAGCTACACTTGGATGCCCTTTGCATTTTGTGTATGTGCATGTGATGCCTACTCCTAAAAAGTAAGTACTTACCTTTAAAATCTCATTTTTCCCCATAACGAGACCTAGGCTTTGCAGGGCTGACCAGAACCTAGGACCTCATGCCCAGAAAGGAGCTTCCGCATGGTGCTACAGGAAGTTCTTTCTGTTCCCTTAGTGGGCGCCACTTAAAGAAGAACCTTGTAGAATCTCCAAAGTGAACGTGCACGTTTTCACTTATTTTATAAGTTTGAGCTGAGAACCAGGTCTGTCCTCCCATCTCCCAAATGTTTTACAGACGACACTTCATCCTTAGCCATCACTTTCCCACTCACAACCTCTGACTCACCGCCACATAACACAAAAATCTGGACAGCAGCTACAGTACTCTGTGATGTGATGTCAGTTGTCCAGTCAGGGTGGGCATCCTGACTCAGGAAGCCGCGGCCTCCATAGAACTAGACTGGCCTCCGACAGGGGCCCTGAGGGACAGCAGACAAAGATGGACCGGTCGGGGGGAGAGACCCATGGAACTGGCACCAGCTCCCCGCCCACACAGCCTGGCCCAGCAGGGAGTAGGGGTGCTCGATGCGAGGCAATGTGGGAGCGGAGGAACAGGCACGCTTCCAGGCAGGCAAGCCAGAGACAGTGGAGCTACAAGGAGTCAGTCTGACGCAAGGGGAAGGCCTCTTTAGTCCCCTCACGACATGTGACGAGGACACGCTGCTCCAGGAAAGAGGACACGCCACACCAAAGGCCCAATATGCACTTGGTGGCCCCTGCTCGAAAGCCTTCCATGGCTTCCCAGGGGACTTCAGAGAAGACCACCTGGGGGCTCCCCGCAAGACCTCACACCACCATCCTGGTCTTCCCCTACTGTCCTCAGAGGGCCGGGTTCCCCACTTTCTCCAGTACCACAGTAAGAGCTGTTCCTTCTTAGAAGCATTTTCTTTTCTCTCGTTCATGAAACACTCAAATACCATGTCCCCAGCCACCACCCCCTCCCACCTCACCGCAGAAGTGATGGCACCGTGTGTGCCCAACTCCGGCCATTCCTATGGCAGCTTTCCTAGACTTCAATTCTGTAGCTGCCTGAGCGCATGGCTAGCACCCTTTCCCCACAGGCTGTAAAGTTCCAGCGAGACCCACGTTTACTCACTATGGGATTCCCAGCACTTTGCAGAGTGCCAGGCACATTAGAGCACAGGACTCTGAAGAAGGGACGGGCGGGCAGGATGCCCACGAAGAGAGAAAAGGGACAATCATAAGGCCTCTGCAGACTGGCAAGGCTTCCGGCAGGAGAGAGGAAAGCGGCCCCAAGAAAAAGGCGGCCCAAGCACTGAGGCCCTGAATGGCAGAGAGCAGCCTGGAACCATTCAAGACGGTGTGGGAGTTGAGGAGGTAGGTGGAGGCCGACAGGATACCCTCGCCCTCCTCCGGCTCAGCCACAGAGGGTACCTGCCCCTGCTGATGGGCCAAGCCCTCCCGGCAGCCTGGAGACAGACCCTCATTACAGCTCCACCACAAGGACGGGAACGGGGACAAGGGGCCAGGAGACTTGCGCATCTACAGTGCAGCAGAGCAGCTCCCTGCTGAGGCTGGCATCCTCCCCACCGGGTGGGACCCCGGCAGCACGAGCCCCACATGCAGCAAGTGCTCAATGGACACGGGCTGAACTGGGTGCAAAAGCAATGGGGTCCCCAGGCTAGTCACTCCCTGTGGCAGTCTAAAAGGGAACAAAAAAGAGGACAATAGCAGGCGTGTGGAGAGGCAAGGCGTGCCCACAGATCCATTTTCTAGTCATCTAGGGGCCAGGGGAGGTATGAAACGGAAACCCTGGGTGCATGGACATCTTTGCACCGGGCAATTGGCCACCCTCTCCTACCTTAGAGATGAGGGTCGAATGAGCAGAACAAAACCTCCCCGCCAGCCAGGTCTCACAATGGGCACTGGCTGTATTTATGGCAGGGTTTTCCTAACACAAGGGGGAGAAACCGAGAACCCCAGAGAAAGAAGAGGGAACGTCCCCCGTCCACCAGCAGGGAGGAGACCCCTGCGGGGTTGCGTGGAAGAAGGGCACTGAAATTCTGATCCAGGGACCAGCATGGATACAGACGCGCATGGATACAGACGCTCACTGCTCACCAGGTGAACAGCCTTCAACAAGCCACCTAATCCGTAAAGGGGGTGCAGTGCTACCTACCTTGCTGCTGCTCACAGGGAAGGCATACAGGGATCCGGAGGGTATCCCGTGTGGCTGTCATCCCTGCTCCCTTGGCCCCACAGATACTGGCAGGGTGGCAACAACTCCCAAGTTGGAAGAGGAGTGAGAATGCTTGGAAAATAGCTTTGTAAAGATAAACTCCTAAAATCATCGTTCTTTCCTAGCTGTGTTGCATCTTTCCCCCAAAATCAGAGAGCAAGGAAAGGCCTGGTTCCGTTCTGGTTACCACAGTTTTTCCTGGACCATGTCTGGCTTTTGTTGTCTATTGAGGAGGGATAGAGAGAGGTTCTGAGCCCCCGACCCAAACACACAGCCTCGGGTTGGTCTCTGGGCTCTCATCCTTCCCAACTCTATGACCTCGGTGAGCTATTAAAAATGAGGACACACTGTTAACATATACCCAGTACCTACGTGATGATGTCAGTTTTCTCTTTTCCTCTTGCTATTCAATCTGATCTCATCTTGTAAAAAGATGATTTTTCCATGCTCGTTTAACTCTTAAAGTGGAATGAGACATCTAGTACGTACTCGATTGTTTTTATTCTAAAAGATGACTTGATATTAACTGCCAATTTCGGAAATTCAAGTGAAACCATTGAATCCAGTATACACTTACTATCTTTGGCCTTTCCATGTAAAAGCTACACTACTGAATTTATTCACCACACCCCCAGGAAACTAACAGAAATACAGTACTTGCTTGAAGTGAATGGAAGGTATGGGAAGAATAGGGTGGAAATGGACGGGGTGGAGGCAAGGTTTTTCAAGACATATATACACACACAGAATTGTGATTCTGGACTAAGTGAACATATTACATCTATTCAGAAAATCGAATAAAAAATAAATCAGCCTAACAAAAGCTATAGGTACAAGGTTTTTATAGAAGTCTTTTTGTGAATTCCTAGGAATTAAGAGATCTCAAGAGAACTAAGAGTTTGTTTTCTTGTTTTTTACCCCATCAAAAACCCACTCTGCAAAGACAAAAATGCCAGATGTATCCAACCAGCATTGCACTACATAAAATACTTGCTAGACTCTCATTTAAACGGTGAGATGTGAGAGACGGTGTCTTGGGGACGCATAATGAAATACAAGGAAGATCAGGCACTAAGCAGGCCACGTGGCCTGCGTGGTAGCAGGAAGAGGGAAGGATGCTTCTTAACACTAACAAGAAGGGCTCTGCTTTACAGATTAGTGGATCCACACGAAAGTCCTGGTATTTGACCGCTTTTGAGCTACAAAAATGTCCACTTTATAAGCAGTATTCTTTCCTGCTCTCTCTTGGCAGCACCTCAAAACAACACAAAATTCTGCCTGCCAGCCTCTGCCCTGCGGACTCCCATGGTTCCAAATGGCAGGAGTGCTCCTCTCCAGTATTCCACTCCTCTAAGGGACCAAAGGACCCCAAGCTCTCTACTGTGCCATCTGGCGTGTGGCTCTCGGTGTCTGAACATCTCTATTTGCCTGGGTTCTCCACTGTTTTCTTCTCCTACCGTCTTATGCCTAGGTTGAAGTGGGACCCTCTCAGGTGGGTCCCCTGTCATCTGCCCCCAAGTTCCCTCAGGCCACAGCATCCTCCAGCCCCTGAGGGACACACACTGGAGCCGCAGGAGCTTTGCTGAGCTGGTCTCCAGTAAGAAACAGTGTGACTTGCCATTTTAACAAATGTCCAGGGAACAGACTCTTGACTTCATGGCTTCTATCATTATTTTTATACTTAGTATACATTATGAGGCACATGGAATTTGTTAAAACTAAGAAGTGTCAGCTAGGCACAGTGTCATGAACCTGTAGTTCCAGTTACTTGGGAGGCTGAGGTGGGAGGCCTGCTTAAGCCCAGGAGGTCAAGTTCAGTCTGGGCAACATAGCAAGACACCATCTCTTTAAAAAAAATGTTTAAGAAGTGTCTATGAAGGTTGATTTGGGGGTTTGTGGCTAAGATTTCATGCCTCTGCCAAGCACAGTGGAAGTGCCCACTGCTCTGGCTACAGGATGGAAGACAGATGTCAGAGAGATTGGCCCAAATTCCACAGGTACTTCTGGAATGCAGAGAGAGAGACTTGAGCGATCATTAAGTGGGTCAACCCGGCAATCAATCAACCAGACCTAGGGACCAACTAACTGAATGAGCAGAAGGAACAGAAACTACACGATCCAAAGTGGTAGTCACCAGCC